CACATTTCCTTTATTTCAAAATCTCTACATGAAGTATGTTTTTAAATTACACACTTTAAAGTTTCAGCAGAATATCAAACATCAAAATTAATATTCCTGACTAAAAACATATATTCTGTAATGTGAGACTGTTAGTAATTTGATGAAATAAGAATAGGAGACCTATGCACCAAAGCACAGATAACTATTTTGCCTTGACAGCTCTTAACAGTTAGAAGAAACAAAATTATCCAAATACCACCCAAAGTAGCTAGAAAGCTACAAGTATATCTGATTAAATAAGTTTTTTAATTGGCCATATAACATTTCCATATAATATGTAGGTCCAGGATACTTGTTTTTTAACAATATCTGTAATACTTCTGATGTAGCTGTATGAGAGTTTTATCTTCCATGCAGACTTTTGTTATGCAGTCTGTTTATAGTTTTATTCTTAATGCAAGTCAGTTCTGATGATACTGTGGAGCATGGAGATAATAGTGGAAACCATTGAAAAAACATCTTAAGAGGAAAAAGGTATTGTAAGGAACTCAGTCTAAAACATAGCTTGAATGAGCTCTGACAGAGGTGATACAGCTGGTTGTTTCCTGTGCCAGGAACTACTGTGGAACCCCACCAGGAAGTGTGCTACAGAACAGGATCACATTACACCCTTGTTTTATGGTTCATTTCACCTATTTAATGCAATTTGAGAAACTGCAAAAAAAAAAGAGCACTCTAAAAAGGGGATGTTTATTATTTGAAAATATGTAATTTCTTTGACACAAGTAATTTGGTTTGGAATACCTAATGTAATGCAAGGAAAATCAATAGCACCATGCAGTGGCGTACAGCAAAAGCAGAGTGTTTCCGTATTCATGAAATGTAGGGAATACTGTAGATGATAGTTTATATGTGTACACTCTTGCTTGTCTGCTTCAGTGAACCAAGAGCGTGCTATAGTGCTGGAACAGCAAAAAATTATAGTAGTTTTCTTTTACCACTACAAATAAATTTTAATACAGTGCAATGGTTTATTAAAATTATGTCGACTAAAAGGGTTGTTTAATATGCTATCTGATTTATAGAGTGTGATAAAATATTCCAAAATCTTTGGGAAAAAAAAGGAACGTGCTACATCCTGTATTTTTTTTGACAAAGCTATTTTCATATGAAAGAGAAATGTTTAAAGTGCTAACTAGATAATGATTCATCAATTCTGGCAGAGGATTTTTGTTAACGTAGTACTTAAAAATGTGTGGAATGAACAGCTGGATACCACAGTTGTGGCTTGCCATGTTAAGTCTCTGTCTGTTTTCCCCTACAGTGATCTCAGTATGAACAACATTACTAAGCTGCCCTCAAACTCCGTGCACAGTCTCCGCTTCCTGGAAGAGCTGTAAGTATCATTGTATTCCTGATGGGCATAGTCAGCACTGGGCACATTCCTGTGTTTGTCTCTCATACTTGCTGTGGGAACCAGATAAAATGGTGCAGGAAAGCTGTCAGTCCGACACTTTCGGCACATGCGGAAACACTTAGTTGAAAAAAACGATTGCTTGTGATTCTGGAAATGAACTTATAAAAGAGTTACCGTGGGGCTACAACTTCTCTAAGCAGAGACAGAGCCAAACAAATTAAAATTTTTAAACAAGGGCTGTTTAAAAGAGCTGGATTGCTTTTTGGAAATAGTTAAGCAGCAGGATATTAAAAGTTTGAAAGCTGGCTCATGTTTATTAAAATCGCAAGTAAAGCTATAATCAAAACCAAAACCCATTGCCTGGTTCTGCCTATGTCAAGGACAACTGAGTCCACATTTCCTAGTGTCAAGGCTTCTTGCCCTAATCGCTTTTAATTACTGCTACCCTACTCTTAAATTTAGCATCCCTGAAGGCTGAGCACAAAATGCAGAATCCTCCAAAAAGCTTAGTTCGGCTATCTAGAACACTCACTGAGGGGAAACAGTACTCTGCAAAAACCAGCTAATCAAGCACAACATCAAAAGAGGAATGCTGGTGTGAATTGATGGTGATTAACCAAAAGTGAAAAGTATTGTGTTTTCTTGAGACCTGGATTTCGCAGTGATCCTAGTTGCAATGACCCAGGCCTAAAAGAAAATTTAGGTTCCTGAAGTCTGATTGAGTTGCTGCTGCTGATGCACCACAGAACTTGTTGGAAAAGACTGGTACCTGCATTTACATACGTACCTCTAAAAGTTGATTAAAGGAATTGGGTAGACGTGCAGCCTCTTATGAAGCATGTGCTTTTTAAGCTTTTAAAAATAAAGGTCTTCTTTTTTATGGCATGCTTAGAAACTAACACACCATAAAACCCACATAAGATATGCAAAGTCATGATGCTGCCCTTCTTGCAAAGGCACAGTCTGTTTTAAGCTATTGAATGGGCATAGTCCAGTTTAATCTCTGTGTGGGTATTGCACTTTCAAATTTGGTGTTCTCACTAACACTCATTTGAATTTTGCCACCTAGTCTTTCTACCTATGAAAAATAAAAATAAAATAGAAAGCCCCCAAAGGAAGGAAATAACCAGCCCAATACAAACCATCTTGCTGTTCTGTCATTCTGTGAAATGTGGATCATTTTGAGCAGTAGCCTATTTGCAAGCAGGTTTTCATTTTCTTTTGCCTTTCCCTTGTCACCTCTTTTTTGAGGGAGGAGGAGAAGAGACATGGGGAGGCTTATTTTATTGCAAGCAGAACTTGCAATTCAAAGGTATTATTTCCTTGCTTGCTTTGGTTGTCATCACCTGTGCTATTGATACAACTTTCAGCTAAAAACAGATATAGACATAACAAGGAGAGATATTACACACCAAGTATAACAGAATCAAGAACATATTAAGTGAATCATACTAAAAATGCTCCGCTTGAGGATTTTTGCATGTTTATGTTTGCTCATCCAATCTCCTGTCAACTGTAGTAACGCTCCTAAAAGCTTCTATCCCGATGATTTTTCTCCAGCCATTTAAAAAGAGAAGAAAAGCAGAAGTTTGGGCTTTTTCTGAAATGAAATTCTACTAATATCTCAAGCTACCTACAGTCTTTCAGCTTACAGTCCAAGTTTAGGCTACTCAAATAGTGAGACCTGTCACTCCATGGGAGGCCGTTCAACAGTCTGTTTCTGTCCAAAGACTCTGGATTTTTTTGTCTTTATTTCTGTACTCGGCCTACTTTTTCCTCCTTAAACATTAAACCATTATTCTTACGACCCTTGTTCCAAATTATGTAGTTCCATTCCTTCCTTGTGGTACTACCACAAAAATATTTATGTTATTATCATATTTTGCTTTACACATAAACAAGCTACTCTACCATTTAAATATAAGCCAGTCGTTTCAGTCTAATTATTTTTGATACTATTCCCTGTAATCCTTCCAATTTGTATCCATTTTTGAAATAACAGGTAAAATAGAAAAGTGAACCCTTTGAAGATGTGAGGTATACACATTCATTGTATTGAGAGTCTCTTCAATCTTCAGAGTTGCATAATACAATTCAGTCTACTATTATATAGAACAATTTCAGAAAAGGGGAATGGGAACTGTTTCAGTTTTGAAGTACAGAGCAACAGACACAGTACTTTCCATACTCTCCTTATGTTCATTTCTGAACAGCGATTGTACATATCAAAATTATTTTGTCCATCTAGGTATTACCACATGACTCTTATTTCCAGCTTACCTGGGATTTCTAAGGATACTATTGTAAAATGTAAGGTGGACCATAATGCACACATTTGTAAAAATAAGATTTGACTGAAAACAATGTTTCCATGAAATTAAAATTCACCTTAGAAATGTCCACATGCTCTTTGAAACAGATCAACAGCAGGAGCTGAAACTACATTTATAGGTTTTTTTTAATGTTAAGAAAAAAAAAAGTGTTAGTAATCACTTGATTATAGGCCTGGTTCAAAACCTCATATAGACAAAAAAATAATCCACTATATTTTAGTTTAGGTGTTATGGCCTGGACATGTGGTTTGGCAATACTGAAACATCATTACCACAAAAGAACTGAGACTTTATTATGAAGAGAGTTTTGAATCCAAGCAAAGGCTGGGCTTTTCAGCCAGTTCAGACCTTCTAAGCTGAACTCGATGCACTATTCCAGCCACAGTTCAACACCTCTACCCTTCTTGCAACCATGATGCTCATCTCTGGGCTTTATGCTTAACCGAAAACTTTAGTCCTTTCTTTAAACTGCTCTATTTTTGAGGTACGTCTTCCTCTAGAAGTGTTCAAAAACGTTGTGGTGCTTTGAAAACTGAGCTTTTCTAGCTTCTAGCAAGTTTAGTTTTGAGGAAGAACTTTTCTTTCTGAAAGTGATAGGCCTTTCAGGCTTAATTTTCTCTTAAAATGCATATGACGGAACTCCCACCAAGAAAAAAAAAATTGCTTAAGGAACTTGATTATCAGAGGTTTGCTCTGCATAGACTTGTGCAATACCATTAAGTCAAATTCTTCATTACAAATTCAAAATAGCTCTGCAGATATTTATCACTATGATTGAGTCCAGGACTCAACCTCATATAGAGCTTTTTAGAGATATATTATTCTACAATATGTTTAGAATGCCCATATTAGTAGAGTAGAGAATTGGAGTAATTCATTATTTTTTTTAATATAACAAATTACCTAAACCAGGATTCTCTAAGGCTAAACAGACAACCACATCACATTTTGTGATTAGTAACACTTCAAAGCATTGCCTGATACTGTTTTATTGTATAAAATAATATCTCTAAAAAATAAGGAATAAAGCCAATGACTATTTAAAACTATTTGGGTCAGACCTAATTGCAAATATCTCCAAAAAGATATATCTAAATACATACATACACACACACATCTGCATAAAAATATGCACACATATCCATACACATATGTATCAATAAGGCTTTAATTTTAAACACAGAACATTGCACAGATTAGCAAAACTCCAGGTGATTTTTAATACATTGCTTTTTTCAGCAGCTCAAAAAAGATGTTTTAGCAAAATAGCAAAGAAAGGGCTGTATTATTACTTTTTTTTTGCCTTTAGATTAAGATAGTTTCAAATAACAGTCATTTTACAAAATCAAGTGACAAATACTCCCTAAACTTAAATGTAACCCAGATACAAGTGCAGGAAAGTTTACTGAGGCCCATGCTAGCTTTCAAAAAATCTCAAGAAGAATTATCTATGTGCCCAAAGTTTTTCAGGTTGCCCAGTGTATTATTACAGTACTTACTCATTCAGAAGTGCCTTTAATAGTGCATTTTCTTGCAAACCTGAAGTGCAGAGTTACAGCTACTGTACAATACAGACACATACTATGTGAAGCTCATCATCATTTGTATGGAAATCCCTTCACACTTCAGAAGTGGTCAAGAGGCCACTGCATATGCGAAAATCAAGTCCTACATTTAACAATCCATTAACATTTGTTCTTACTTTTTTTTTTCACTTTACCCCTCTTTCTGCTTACTCTTTCTTTGCACAAAGAGGTTTTCAAAGATGTCAGTGGGAATTAGGTGTTCTTTCCCCCACTGACTTTGAATGGGACTGATCTCTCTCATCATTTACACCTTTGAAAACTGAGAGCATTAGCTCCTTTAGCTGTGTACAATTTTTGTGGATACAGGCATATTGTGGCTAGCACTGAAAAATGATTCTACATTTTTTACTATTATATAACTCAGTAGAAAACATAGAAACGCTGCAGCCATCATCCAAAATGTACTGGAGAGAGTGGGGGAATCTTAATTTACATAAGCATGCATTGGACAGGATGCTTAAGTACCAAAACCTTTCCCAAATATTAATCTGCATAGCTTTAAAAGCATCCAAGGCAAACAAGAGAAAAAAAATGCAACTGTCAAATGCAACCAAATTAAAAAAAGAAACAAATATGCACAAGTGTCTCAAACTGTACACAGGCTTCCTGATCTTACTTCTCTATCGGTTTACAGTTCTTGCACAACAGATTTTACTGGGCTATTCATGATGGAAATTGGCTTATGTCACTTCCCTCAGCTAGTGTTTCAAGAACCGTTATTGTTAAATGACTTATGGTCCCATATGGAATTCCAGTGCCACATACTATCTGGAGCCTAAGTTGTGAATTTGATTTCTTCACATAAGTTTTGAAATGAATTTGTTCCCGTTGTACACTCATACATGTAGACATGCACTGCTCAGAATATACCCCTGTGTTTGGTGTGCGGTGTTTATCAAGGAGACATATCTGTCCCCGGCCAGGCAAACAGCCAGCGACACGTCGTAAATTCCACTGCCCTGCGACCGAGTTTGTTGATAACTCCAGGCTGTGGCTTCTACAACTTTGTTTTTCTGCCTGCAGAGAGGCACTGAAAATCCTTGCAGAGGGAAGTGCACCA